CCCCCACCAGTCCCCATCTCCAGGGTGGCTCCATCCTTGCCCCAGGACGTCCCATTGCCAGGGTCATCCAGCCCTGGCCAGGCTGTGGGGTGCACCCCACCGAGACGTGGGGTGTGGGGTCCCATCACATCAAGACACAGGGCTTACGGGCCCAGGCACCCTGAGGCATGGAGATTTGGGGTCCCAAGCACCCCATGTGAAGATGTCCATGCCTGCTCCACTTGGCTGGTGGATGCGGCACTGGGGGGCATTGGGGGGTGCCGTGGGGTGCGGGGGGCTGGGGGCCGGTGCTACCAGGGTCCCTGTGCCCACCCAGGAGCTGATGAAGTCCCTGCAGTGCCAGCAGCTGGAGCTGGAGTGCATCACCTCACTGGGGGAGGAGATCCTCGCCACCTGCCACCCCGACTCCATCGTCACCATCAAGTCCTGGGTCACGGTCGTCAAGAGCCGCTTCCAGGAGGTGAGCAGGGTGTCCTCCCTCCCTCCCCGGCCGTGGGGCAGGTCTGCCCCACTCTCTTCCCACTGCTGGGGCCTCCGGCACAGCCCTCCCAGCCAGGGAGCTGGGGATAGTCTTGCTCTTGATCTTGCTCTTGCTCTTGCCTGTGATGGGACAGCCCCATCTCAGCTCCTCCTGCCCAGCCCTGACCCTCCATGAGCCACCAGAACCCACCGCCCCGGCCATCCCCTCGCTCCCCCATCCTGGGGGTCACACTGGGGGTCACCCCAGGCCTCTCCAGTCCTGGTGGTGGCTCATTCCACCCGCCTGAGCCAGCAGATGCCAAACAGCCCGGGCAGGGGAGCAGTGTCCTGGGGATCCCTGTCCCACACCCCGCTCCTGGATCCCGGGGATCCCTGTCCCACACCCCGCTCCTGGAGGCTCCCCAACATGGAGGGCTCGGGGCCAGAGTGTTCCCAACTCTGGCTCTCCCCGAACGGGTCTGACGGGTTCAGCCCGTTGCTGTATCTCAGCTGGATCTGCTGCGAGGTCCCACCACCCGCGGGGCTGCCCCGTTTGCTCCCAGAGAGGGAGGACGCGGCACAGCCCGCACCCGGCACGTCCGCCGCAGCACAGACCCAGCTACCAGCACGTTGGGCTGTTGGTCGCGGGGACGGGCCAAGGACCGGTGCTCAAAGCGGTGGTGGCAGCACCTGTGGGCTGCAGAGGTCCCTTGGCATGTGCAGGGCCACCCTGCAGCAACTCGGTCCTGCCCCGAGGTCTCGGGTGGGCCCCATGTCCCTGCCCCATAGTCACCACGGCTGCCGGCCAGGGGTCCGTGTGCTTGCCCATGGCTCCATGTTCAGACCTGTCCCCCAAAAGCAATGTCCCCGTGGTGCCTGGTCAAGGCCACAGACTGGGGTCCGCAGCCGGCCCCGTGCCCCCGCCGCCCCCCAGTGGCCCACCCGCCCCCCGGCCGTGCCCGCAGGTGCTGAGCTGGGCGCAGCAGCAGGGCGAGCGGCTGCGGGCGCAGCGGGCCAGCCTGGCCGCCGAGCGGGAGGAGGTGGCCCAGCTGATGGACTGGATCACGGCCGCCGAGGAGGCGCTGAGCCTGCGGGACCAGGAGCCGCTGCCGGAGGAGGCCGAGCAGCTGGAGGAGCTCAGCGCCCAGCACACGGTGAGGGACCCCCTGCCCCCCTCAACGGGGGTCCCCCACACCCTGTCTGGCCCCGGGGCGAGTGATTGACCCCGCCGAGGACTTTGGGGTGCCCGGGTTGAGGCACAGCAGCGACACAGCAGCCCCTTTCGCAGCCACAGCCCACCCGATGGGGCCAGCAGGGCTGGGCTGTGAGTGGCCGCGCCGCTGGCCCCATGCCCCAACCCCAGCTGTGCCAGGGGGGCTGGCTGGCACCGGGGACCACGGCTCAGCCCCGGGGCTCTGCCGCAGGTCTTCATGGAGGAGCTGAACCGCAAGCAGCCCGATGTGGAGAAGGTCACCAAAAGCAGCAAGCAGAAGCTGGCCACAGAGCTGGGCCCCCCCGTTGCCCGCCGGCTAGCCACACGTAAGGCCCCCCTTGCCCCCTGTGCCACGCGGTGCCCCGGGACCCCCGTCCTGTCCCTCACCTCCATCTTTGCCGGCTGCAGGGCGCCGCAGCAGCGGGAAGGTGCAGGGTGGGCCGGCGGCCCCGCTCGGGGGGCTGGAGCCACAGACCCCCCTCATGGCCCAGCTCCTGCACCGCTGGCAGCAGCTCTGGCTGCTGGCCCTGGACCGGCAGTACCGGCTGGAGACGGCCACGCAGCGCCTGCGGGAGGTAGGGGCAGCCGCGCCGGGGGGCCACCGGGCTGGACACCCGTGGGGACGGTCCCCAGGGTCGGGGGGACGGTGGGCAGCACCCCAAGAGCCTCCCTGGACCCTGTCCCCACATTGGGAGACCCCTGGCAGCCAAGAGGCGGCTGCCGGAGCCCCTGTCCCCTTTGCCACCCGCAGCCAGGGGTCCTGCCTCCACAGAGACCCTGTGGCCAGCCCCAGTGGGGCCAGGGCTGGGAGCAGACGGGGTGCACGGCAGTGGGGCTGAGCTGGGGCGTGGGTCTGCGTGGGGCAAAGCACACTTGGGGGTCTCGGGGGGGCTTTCCTGCCTTAACTCCCGCTGTGCCTCTGGGAGCTGGAGGAGTTTGCTCACTTCGACTTCGGGGTCTGGAGGAAGCGGTACGTGCAGTGGATCGGCCAGATGAAGTCCCGTGTCCTGGACGTTTTCCGAGGCATCGACAGGGACCAGGACGGGCGCATCAGCCAGCGGGAGTTCATCGAGAGCGTCCTCTCCTCCAGTGAGTGCCTGGGGCTGGGGGGGGGTGGAATGTGGAGTTTCACACCCCCCGAGAGCCCAGGGACAGGCGGTGTGGGGAGGGACAGGGGCTGCCCACCGGGACCCTGGGAAAGGGGGCTGAGGGGAGACCCCATCGCTCTCTACAGATCCCTGAAAAGGTGTAACCGGGGGGGATTTGATGTCTTCTCCCAAGGAACAAGAGGAAACGGCCCCAAGTTGGGCCAGGGGAGGGTTGGGATGGAGATTGGGGAAAATTCCTTCCTGGAAAGGGCTGTGAAGCCTTGGCAGAGGCTGCCCAGGGCAGTGGTGGAGTCACCATCCCTGGAGGGATTGAAAAGCCGGGCAGACGTGGTGCTGAGGGACACGGGTCAGTGGTGGGTTGGTCAGTGCTGGGTCCATGGTTGGATTCCAGGAGATGAAAGGTCCCTTCCAACACAGACAATTCCATGATTCTATGACGGCCTTGGAGGGGGCCAGGGTTGGGTGCCATCACTGGCTGGCCTGGGCACAGGGTACAGCAGGCTGAGGGTCCCCTTCCCTCCCCAGAGTTCCCCACCAATGTCCTGGAGATGAACGCGGTGGCCAGCATCTTCGACATGAACGGTGACGGCTTCATTGACTACTACGAGTTCGTCAGCGCCCTGCACCCCAACCGCGACCCCCTGCGCCGCATCGCCGACGCCGACCAGATCCAGGATGAGGTACGGCAGGGGGTGGGGGGGCTGGACAGGGTGGGGGTCCCCGCCGAGGGTCTGAGCCGAGTATGACGTCCCCAGGTGAACAGGCAAGTGGCCCAGTGCAACTGTGCCAAGCGCTTCCAGGTGGAGCAGATCAGCGCCAACCGGTACCGGGTGAGTGCCCACCCGATGGCCCGGTGAGGGGCACCTCTGGGTGCTGGTACCTGCTCTGGCACCCCCTCCCCGAAGCCCCCCACCCTGCCCTGACGCCCCCATCCCTGCAGTTCGGGGAGTCCCAGCAGCTGCGGATGGTGCGGATCCTGCGCAGCACCCTGATGGTGCGGGTGGGAGGGGGCTGGATCGCGCTGGACGAGTTCCTGGTGAAGAACGACCCCTGCAGAGGTGGGTACGGGTGTCCCACCCACAGTCGGGGACAGGCACGGGGCAACCCACGGCTCTGGGGCCAGGAGGACGCTGGCCCAACTTGCCCAGAGAAGCTGTGGCTGCCCCATCCCTGGAGGGGTTCAAGGCCAGGTTGGAGGGGGCTTGGAGCAACCTGGTGTGGTGGGAGGTGTCCCTGCCCAGGGCAGGGGGGTGGCACTGGATGGCCTTTAAGGTTCCTTCCCCCAAAACCATCCTGTGACCCTATGATCTGGGGCCAGGAGAGCCCTGGATTCAGGGTGGTGGCCGTCCCTGTGCCCGGGTGCTGTGCCTGTGGGACCATACGGGTCGGTGGTCCCCACGTGGGACATGTCACCGGGCTGTGGGACCCCCCAGACCCTCACCCCCGCTGTCATCCCCAGTGAAGGGAAGGACCAATCTGAAGATCAACGAGAAGTACCTGTCCCCCGACGCCTTTGGGGCCACCGCTGCCAAGTGCCCGGGCAACCAGTCGGCCCCCTCCTCCAAAGTGCTGTCCCCCAGCCGCTCCAACTCCAGCCTCAGCCTCTACAGCAGCGCCTCCGCCCCCTCCAGCCCCCTGGCCAGGAAGGTAAGGGCTGGGGGAGGCCCCCCAAGTGGTCCCTACCCCTCCAGCCCACCCACTGTGGGGGCTGACCCTCTCCCCCTGCAGTCGGTGCTGCGGAGGACGCGCTCCGGTGACCGGTGTCCCCGCTCCCGTGGCTCCCTGCTGCCCGACGGGGCCGAGCTGCAGTTCACCGCTGCCGAGGAGAGCCCGGCCGTGGCACCCCCAGGTGAGGGGCGCGTGACTGTGTGTGGGGGTGTCCCCACAGAGGCTGGGGGGCTGGGGGTGCACTGGTGTGGGGGATGGTGCCGGAGGGCAGGGTGGTCCGGCACCTCCCTGTCATAGAAAGGTGGAGTAAAATCATGGAATCGTCGAGGTTGGGAAAGATCTTTAAGATCATGGAGTCCCAACCATGGATCTAACGAGGACGAGAGGAAACGGCCTCAAGTTGTGCCAGGGGAGGGTTAGAGTTAATATTGGAGAAAATTCCTTCGTGGAAAGGGTTGTGAAGCTTTGGAAGAGGCTGCAGAGCAGCCTCTTCCAAGGCTTCACAACCCTTTCCACGAAGGAATTTTCCCATTTTCATCCTAACTTCCCCATCCTGAACCTTGTGTCCCTGCAGAGCCACCCGAAGGGTCCCCCCCGGAGCGCTGCAGCCCCTGCCGCTGACCCCCGAGTCCAGCCACCCACCCTGCACCCAGCCCCACTCAGGACTCTCCTCCCCGAGGCCGGAGGATGGTGAAGCCGCAGCCCCACGGTCCTGCGGACCCCTCCCGAGCGGGCGCCCCCCGGCAAGGGCTGAGCTCTCTGTCTGTCACCCATCCCACCGGGCCCAGACCCGGCGTATATGCAAGTATCCCCCCCCCCAACACACACCAAACACCCCCCCCCGGGCTCTGGCTGGCACAGCCCCCCGCCCCGGGGGGGGTCTGAGCCCCGAAACCCCACTCTGAGTGTCCCAGGGGGCTGCAGGGAGCATCCCGTAGCTGCAGGGTTGTGGCAGCCCGGGGCTGGGCTCCCCCTCTCCCCCAGGCTCCCATGCTGTCCGAAAGGGGGGTTGTCTGCTGGTGCCCCCGGGAATTTGGCATCACCGGTGGGTGTCCCCCCCATCCTGCCACCCCGGTGGGAGGTTGCCGTGCTCGGTAGCCGGGCAGCGGGGTCCCCTCGCCGGACGCAGAGCCCCGTTTCTGGTGCTAGCCCTCAGCCCTTCGCTGTGTGCCCACGGGGGAGGCCCCGGCTACGGCTGCCCCCCCGCCCCGGCAGGGCTGGGGATGCCACGGGAGGGGGGTACCCCCCGCCCCCGGGCAGCGGGGTCCCCTCGCCGGACGCAGAGCCCCGTTTCTGGTGCTAGCCCTCAGCCCTTCGCTGTGTGCCCACGGGGGAGGCCCCGGCTACGGCTGCCCCCCCGCCCCGGCAGGGCTGGGGATGCCACGGGAGGGGGGTACCCCCCGCCCCCTGTCCCCCCCGGGCGGCGGGACCCCCGCCTTGCCGCCGCATGCCCGCGTCGCCCCGCTAACCGGAGAGCAGTAGAGCTGAATGTAACCCTGGCCGGGCACGGCCCCGCCAGCACCTCAATAAAGAGTAGGTTTCTTTTTCTATGGGCAGCCGGGGCGGGCTGCGCCCTGTCCGTCTGTCTGTCCACTACACGGGATTTGGTTGGGGTAGGGGGGGGATGCCATGTCGCCGAAGCTGGTGCGTGGTGGCACGGTGTGGGTGTGCCACCGGCAGAGCCGCCCGGCGCCGCGGCTGCTGAGCCCGGGGCGTGCCAGCGGGTGCCAGCGGGCACCGCGCCGTGGTGCCTCCTTTCCCAGGAAGCGTGGCTGGGATTCCTGCCCTGCCCCAGCGCCCCTGCCCGGGGCCAGCACCCCACACCCACAGCGGGCAGCACCGGGAGACGCCGCGTCCCCATCCCCGGCTGCCCTCCTGTCACCCGGGGGCTCCGGCAGCATCCAGGGGGTCCCCGGCTGCAGGGCATCCATTCCTGTGGTCCCACCCCCTCTGGAGACACTGGCAGCGTCCCCACTCTGGGAGGCTGGGGACACCTCGTGTGTGGGGACTGTCCCCAGGCCTGGCAGCGGCACGGCCCTTCCCTGGCACCCCCTGTGCTGGGGAAGTCCGAGACCCCCACATAGTGGGGCTTTGCCCCCCTCCTCTGATCCCCCCTCCTCTGATCCCCCGGCTGCCTCCTGTCTTGTCTCGCTCCTGTTCCCCAGCCGAGCCTCTGTGGGTTCCTGTCCCATTTCTGCGCTCTTGTCCCCTAAAACTCTCACCACACTCCACTCGTGGTTTATTCTGAACAAGCACTTCTGCACCCACCATCGGCCAAAGGGGGCCAGAGACCCTGGGTGGGGGCACGTCCCCCGTTCGTGCTCAGAGGAGCCCTGCAAGCCCCCACCTGTGGGTCGGGGTCCCCGCCGCTGGCCCTGCCCCACAGCACCGAGCCCCACCGCTCCCCCGGGAGCAGAGCATCCGCCAACACGTCCCGGGACACTCCCGGCGCGGGCTGGGGCCGCCGACACCGTTTGCGTTGCACATTCCTGTGCCTATGGAAATCTCACCCACCACTCCCAGCCGGGGGAACGCACCCGGCCCCACCGGCCCCACCGGCCCGTGCCAGCCCCATCCACAGCCCCGGGCAGCGGCTCTGGCCCGGGAACCAAAGACAACAAGTGGGGGGGCGGGGGGTGGCGGGGACGCACAGGCAAACAGTTTGCAAAGTGTTTGTGCAGCCGGGAGAACGCCGGCTTCCCCGGGGCTGGACGTGGGGATGAGGATGGGGAGACCCCATGGAGGGAAGCACAGACCCCGGAGCACACGGGTGGGGATGGAGGGTCCAAGAGAGCCCACACCATCCTCGGGGAGATGCGGCGTGGAGCTGGGGGTGGCCTGGGAGACCCCCCCGGCTTGTGCTTGAGAGAAGTGTTTCACACCATCTCCAGTGGCCACCAGCAGAGCCCTTCGCTCCTGGGGGGCTCCCGGGGCAGCGGGAGAGGAGGGATCGGGCAGCACCACGGTGCCATGGGGCTCTGCTCGGGTGGCAGAGCATCCCTCCTGCCCCAGGAGCCATCCGGCCCCCGCCGCGGCGAGGGGGAGGCGGGTGCCGCCCTGTTGCCCAACCGCCCCGGCACTAGCCCCGGCTGTGGGAACCCCGGGCGTGACGGGCCCACCCTGCGCCCCCGCAGCCGCCACAGCCCCCGACTGGAGCCACGCGCCGGCGGCAGACGCTTTGTCCCAGGCCAGGGAGCCCGGCCGTGCCACGGGGAGAACGGCCATGCTCGGGGGCTGGCAAAGGGGAGTGCTCTTGGATGGGGGAGGATGGCAGGGTCAGCGGGTCTGGTGCTGCCTGGGTAGTGTCGGCATCGGCATCAGGATCGGCATTGGCACTGGCATGCTGCTCTGCTCCCATGCTGGGGCCAGCATGCGTGCAAGCCCGTGTGTGTGTGCAGAGTCCCTTGCACGACATACACGTGTGCAAAAGCAAAACCCCTCCAGGCATCTCCCGGTGCTGAGCTCAGCGATGGCACCAGCCCCAGCGACAATCGTCCCAGCCGGCGTCGTGCCGCGCTCCCGCACCGCCTTGGCCCTTCCTTGGCACATGCCCGGAGGGACGGGGACCGTGGTGACTTGCACCTGAGCCAGACCATCCTTGCTTCCATCCCACCAGTGCCACCAGTGGCATGTGGGGCCCCCTGAGAACCCCCGGAACCGTGGGGATGGACCTTGGGGCATCCGTGGCCCTGGATGGCTGGAGGCTGGGACAGACAGACACGGCGCAGGGAGGACGTGCATCCCAGTGATGCCGGGCATCGGGGCGGTGTTGGACGGCGCATCCCGGAGGGCGGCAGCACGGTTCACAATGGGGACAGGGCAGCTGCTGGGCCCGGTGACGGCACCGCACAGTGGTGGCAACGAGACCCATCCTCTGGGAGCCACCTGCCCTGTGACACCCGGCTCGGGTGTCCGTCCCTACAGACCCCCACACGTGGGGTGACTCCCGCCCCGATGCTTGCCCCGTGGGACTTTCCCCTTCCCCGCAGCAAACGGCCCCACATCCCCGGCCACCGGCACAGCAGCGGTGTCACCGGGGCTCCCCAGAGCCAGTGGCCACCTCCAACCCCAACCGCGGCCACCCCCGGGCAGGGGTGAGGTGCCCGGGCCGAGGCGCGTTGGTGAAGCCACGCAGGGTTCCTTCGAATAGGCAGGAATTGCAACCACACATTAGTGCTAATTACCGTAACGAGCCTTCCTCTGCCGCTGGGCCCCGTGCCCGGGGAAGGAAAAGCAAAACAGCCTCAGCAGGCACAGCAGCAGAGCGGCCCAGAATGCCCCAGTATGGCCCAGAATAGCCCAGCACAGCCCGGTATGGCTGAACATGAGCAGCCGCGCTGCCTGGGGCAGGGGTCCGAGGTCCCCCCTGTGCCCATCCCTGCAGCAGGCAGGGAGACGATGGCCACCCGTGCCGGTTACTGGCCAGCAGTGCCCGTGCCTGGCCCCGTGGCTGTCCCCGCTGCCGGGTGCCGAGCTCTGGCGTTGGTGCCGAGCCCTCGGCGGTGGCAGCAAACACTCATCCCTGTTTGCCGTGGGATTAGGGCTCCTCAGCGCCTCTGAAACCACAGCCTGACAATGCCTGTGCGGCCATCGGAAACACACTGGGGTCTGGGACACAACCTCCTCTCCGTGTGCCACAGGGACAGGGCGCAGGTACAGCGGTGGCCACTGGCCCTGCTGGGGGGGATGCAGCCCCTACCCCTCTTGCTGGCCCCACTGATGCTCCCCCCATTTGGACATGGCCCCATGGGTGTGGGGCATCATCCCAGTCGGCCCCTCTTGGCCCCACAGCTCTGTCTGCTCTGGGGTGACACCCTCCCGAGGGTCCGTTTGTGCTCCCGGGACCACCACTGGGTTCAGCCGTGCCCTTCCTGGGGGGATGCCCTTCCTCCATTGCCAGGGCTTGCCGCGCTGGCAGCAAGGCGCCAGGGCTGTGTGCCCACCGGACCACGCCGTGCCACACCACGGGCTCGCCCGGCCGGCCCCGCACCTGGATACCGGCACCTCTCCAGACAACACACTCCCACGCACCATAAACATCTCGCCCAAGCGGCGCATCCCGTCCTCAGCACGATGCCCCGCAGGGCTGGCAGCGGGAGGGGGCTGGAGGGCCACCCCGCAGCCCCAAAGGGCCACTGTGCCCCAAGCATGGTGCCCAACGCTCTTTCGGGGACCCCCCGAGTGCCCATGGCACTGGGGACAGGAGAGGGGGTGCCTGGGGCGGAGCGGGGGCCAGGTGCAGGGTCTGGGGAGAAGGTGTGGGGCTGGTGACGGAGGCAGGGCAGGGGTGTTTGGGTGACTCAGGTGGCAACGGGGTGGCTTGAGCATGTTTTGGGCAATTCAGGCTCTACCTGCACATCCAGGGCTGGGGACAGGATTTGGAGGGGAGCGGGGAAGGGTCCCTCTCCCCACCCCAGCTCATGTGGTGCCAGGGTCAGGCCCACAGCTGGAAATCTGGGGTCTGTCACCCCTACAATGGCAGCCCAGGGTCTGGCCACATGGACAGGGTGGTGCGGCCAGTTTGATGGGAGATGGACTCACGGTGGGCTCGAGTGGAGAGGGCAGCAGGGATTGGGGCTGCTGGGACCGGGGGTGGTTACGGGGCGATGGGGAGAAGGATGAGAGGCAGCTGGGGGCCAGAGCAGCGCAGGCACATGGGCAACATGGAAGTCTCTCACCACTTTCTCTTACCTCCTTTGCAGAAGGCACTGCCAGCGCAGATGGCTGATGCCAGGACAAGACCACCAGCCCACACCGCAGTCCCCTAGGGACCAGCTGCCAGCTCCCAGCACAGCACATGGAGTGCAGTGATGGGGCCATGGGGGCCAGTGCAGCCGGACCCCCTGCTTGGGGGACCCAGGGACCCCTCGGGGGCCGTGGGGAGGGCTGGCCCGCCTGTTGCAGGGCTGGGCCGGTGTGTCATCCCCAGGGGCGGGGAAGGGCAAGGTTTTAAACCCGTTGCGGTGGAGGCAGGAAGCAGCGGCGAAGCAGCGGGACTGCGGGCACCTGCCGGGCGAGCCCCTCGGGCCACCACCGTGGGCAGGTAGGCAAGGGCCGGCGGAGACGGGCCCGGCTGGGGGCCACGGATCCTCCAGCATGGGCCCATGGCGGACCGAGGCGCTGCCGCCGTGCCGGGAATGCCAGGAATGCGGCGTCGCCCGCGCCCGCCGGTCTGTCTGGGCTGCAGCCAGGTGCCGGGGCGGGACAGTGGGCGCAGGGCAGCAGCCCCACGGTGCTGCGGTCGGCGGGCACCAACGGCACCGGTGGCCCAGCATGGCGGGAGGATGCCGGACCCTGTCCAGGGATGGGGACAGGAGACAACGGCTCCCAGGGAAAAGCCCAGCTGCCAAGGGGCTCCAAGGGGCTCAGGGGGGCTCGGCAGGGCGGTGGGTGCTGAGGAAGGGGCAGGCAGTGGGGCAGGGCACAGGGGGGCTGGCAGCACCATGCCATGGGACCTGGCAGTGTGGTTTTCCCCCGCTGTGGGCAGGGTGCGACCCCATCCCACCGCCCTGGCAGAGGAGCAGCCCCGCTCCCGGAACATAACGGGGACAGGCAGGAGCCCAAGTGCCACTGGCCATCGGTGGGACCCGGCACCGTGTCCCTGCTCCAAGGTAGCCGGGATGGAAACACCACCCGGGAAGGGGCCCTTGGCTGCCCCCAGCCCTGCAAGGACCCCCATGGTGCCCCGGCTGCCCTCCCTGTCCCTGTCACCCTTCTCTCAGCCAACTCCTCCACCACTCTCCCTCCCCAGGAAACATCCCCAGGTTCAACCTGTCCCACCAAAGACCCCCCAGACCTCCGCCAGCCTCCCACCCACAGCCCCAGCCCCTTCCCCAGCAGATCCTTCCTCCACCACCCTTTCCCTGGAACCATGACCCTTGCTCCACCAGTAGAACATGTCCCTTTTCCCTGTCCCCCCCGGCGGACCCTGGCAGCCTTCCCCTCCCCATCCCGGGGCTGCCAAGGTGCAGGGTCCCCCCACAGGACTCAGGGCTGCCAACTCTGCCCGGCTCCTGGTGTCCCCTCCGGCGCTGGGTGTAGGAGGAAGAGGTGGGGGTGACTCAGGCGGGCAGGGGGGTGTGCGGGGCCCGTGGGGCTGGCGGCTGCCGAGGGGCCGGGGCTCATGCCAGCCCCAGCGCTCCCTGACGCAGGCAGCGGGAAAGGCCAAGGCTGCCGGGGAGAGCTGCCCGCGTCGGGGAGAGACGGTGGCCCCGGGGAGGGCTGCAGGTGCCAACGCCTGAACCTCCGCCAGGAATCTCTCTGGCTTTGTGGGCAGAGCCGGTTACTAAAAGTTTCCATGGGCTGACGCCTCCCAGCTGAAGGGGAAAGAAAAGAGCCCTTCCCCTGCCTGCACGCTCGCTGCCCCCTCCCCGGCCGGTGAGCGGGGGGCTTCATCGCAGCCCTGACCCCAGTCCCCAGCCCCGATGGGAACTGGGGGCTCAAGCTGTCCCCATGTTACGGGTGGCAGTGCCCAAATCCCCTCTGGATTCTTGTGGCAGTGGCCAGAGTGGGTCTGGGACGTGTGGGGGGGGTCTGCCTGGGGGTCCCTGGATACCCCTGTGCCACGGCATGGCCAGACTGAGCCCAGCTCCTCCCCAGTGCGGCACAGCCTGTGCCATCCCCCCGAGCACCCCTCTGCCAAAGGGCTTGGGGTCTGGGAGCAGCTTTCCCGGCCCTGGGAGGCGACGCTGCCCTGGCACTGGGCGGGGGGGCAGAGACGGTGGTGCCGTGCCACTGTCCCCACGGCACAATGTGCCTGCGCGTCCCCTCGCCCCGTATGGCTCCGGGCAGCCCTTCCCGGGGCAGGAGCAGCGCCCGTGCCCGTCCCACCCGCCCTCCCCACCTCTTGGCACCGGGGCCGGCTGCAATCCCCGACCTGCAAAGGCAAACGGTGTTTTGCCTGGGCAGATCCGAGCCGGCGCGGCCGCGCTCGCACTGACATCACCGGGCACGGAGCCGGGGCTGGTCGGCACCTTTTGTCCCAGGACAGGGATCGAGCCAGGGACAGAGGAGCCATTGCGAGGGAAAGGTGCTGTCCTGGCCGGGGGGGTGAGGGACGAGCAGGAGGGGGCACAGAGGGATGGACACCCATCGGGATGGAGACCAGTGAAGAGGACGGTGGGGCAGTGAGCAGGGCCCTGGGCACAGCCCCCACAGCACCAGCACCGTGCTCTGCACACCCTGGTGTGTTTGCACAGGCAGATTGGGGAAGGACGTGGGTCTGTGAGCCCCAGGCAGGGTCCATGCCCCACCATCAGCACCATCACCCCTCATTGCGACCACCGTGGGAGGGTCAGCGTGGCACCGGCCACCCTGGGGCTGCTGTGCCAGCGCCATGCCCCTCCGCCACCACGGGCAGCCGTGCGTACCATGGACCGCCCTGGCTGTGTCCTTGCAGCCGGGTCCAGAGATGTCCCATCCCTGGAGGGGTTCAAGGCCACGTTGGACAGGGCTTGGAGAAACCTGCTCTGGTGGGAGGTGTCCCTGCCCAGGGCAGGGGGTTGACTGGATGGGCTTTAAGGTCGCTTCTCATCCAAACCATTCCATGATTCTATGATTTTATGGCTGACTCCATGATCCCAAGCTGGCAGCTGGATGGGCTTTAAGGTCGCTTCTCATCCAAACCATTCCATGATTCTATGATTTTATGGCTGACTCCATGATCCCAAGCTGGCAGCAGCACCTGACCCAGCAGACTTGGCTGCAGGAGTTCCAGCAAGCCGGTCTCCTCGGTCTGCCCCAGTGCTTCATGCTTGGTCCCATGGCCTCTGTAGGGCCTTGCACAAGGCACCCGTGCAGAGACGAGCCCTGCACAGAGAGGCAGTGAAATGCCTCTGGAGCTTTTCTCCCCAGAGGAGGTGGTCCTGCCTCAGCCCAGTGCTCCACCAGTCCCACCAGTGCCTCTGCTGAGACATCCCAGTGCACCCAGCCAGTCTGGCTCAGGTGCTTCCTTCTGGCAGGTCTGGCACAGCATGGAATCATGGAATGGTCTGGTTTGGAAGGAACCTTTCAGCTCCTGGAGTCCCACCATGGACCCAGCACTGACCAACCCACCACTGACCCATGTCCCTCAGCACCACGTCTGCCCGGCTTTTCAATCCCTCCAGGGATGGTGACTCCACCACTGCCCTGGGCAGCCTCTGCCAAGGCTTCACAGCCCTTTCCAGGAAGGAATTTTCCCCAATCTCCATCCTAAACCTCCCCTGAGGACAGGGACAAAGACACTGCCCTGACCACACTCAGCCTTTGGCTGTTACCTCCTCCTGCCTGTGAGATGTCCCTTTACTTTTTCCCCTGTATTTAGTATGCAAACTATATGTTTACAGTTGGAGGAACACACAACAAGTTATTGTCATTCAGGCAACCGTCCTGTCACCAGATGACTCCTCCCCACCCAGGAAGAGGAATCGGGGCAAAACAAGGAAACACAAGGGTTGAAATGCAAACAGATCTAATAGAATAAAGCTGGGTAATTAACACGAATGGTACTGAAGAACCAGTATAAAATAGACAAGGATTATACTCAGCGAACTACCTCAGTAGGAATCGTGCACTGCTGGGAGGAAGGGAAGGGCTCGGGGCTCTGGCCCCGGGGCAAGGAGTTCTCAGGGTGGCAGCCAGCAAGGGGAAACTCCTCAGCAAACTCTAATTTATATGGAATGTGACATTCACGGTATGAAATAACCCCGTTGTCCAGCTTGGGTCAAGCACCCGGGTCTCGCTCCTCAGCCCCGCATCTGGGGAGCTTGAAAACACTGAGACCTTGAAACCCACCCCCCAGAGCTGGCTGTAAAGTAAATATTTTCACAGACTCAGATGCTAAAATCTCCTAAAAGTGCAGTTTTCCCCAGCGTTAGAAGAGACCCAAAATCCATCCTTTGTCACTTGGGCCAGGACACAGTAGAAAATCTGATTTCTCACAGAGCTTTCCCGTTCTCTGCCCTCTCTCCAGAGCGTCTCGTGTGCTGTTCAAGGAGGTCTACAGGGAGGATGGAGACCCAGCCAGCGGTGAACGGCCACGCTGCCCCCCTCTCGCACCAGGAGGACGTGCCGGGGGCAAACCACTCGTGCCAGGATATACGGCCTCACAAGCAGAGAGAAGCAGCCGGCGGGGATGTGACAGTGATGGATGCCTCCAGCCGGCCCTCGGAGGCAGCTGGCAGCATTGCTGGAGTGTATGTGGAGGCCTCCAAGAGGATAATGAGTTTTTATGATGCCACCAGAGAGCATCTCCTGAGTCTGGATTCAGCACTCTGTCTCCTGGAGGCCCAGGCAGCCATGGGCTTTATCGCCGACCCAGTGAAGAAGAGGCACGTCTCCGTGGCAGAAGCCGTGCAGCTGGGGCTGGTGGGGCTGGAGCTGAAGGAGAGGCTGCTCTCTGCAGAGAAAGCCGCTACAGGCTTTGTGGACCCCTACACAGAAGAGAAAATCTCCCTCTACCAGGCCATCCAGAAGGACCTGGTGGGAAGGGAGACAGGTACTCGGCTGCTGGAGGCCCAGATGGCAACCGGCGGCATCATTGACCCAGCCACTGGCTGCCGGCTGCCAGCAGACGTTGCCTGTGAGAGGGGGTATTTAGATGAAGAGATGACCCAGCTCCTCTCAGACCCCAGCAGTGAGGACAGCAAAGGGTTCCTCAACCCCAGCACTATGGAGAGGGTCACTTACATGGAGCTTCTAAAGAGGTGTGTGGTCGATCCAGCCTCAGGCTTCCTCCTCCTGCCCCTGCAAATCACATTCCTGGGGCTGGCTGGGAGGGTGAGCAGCAGGGACCTGCTGGACTCTGGCATCATCAGCCCTGAGACCTTCAGAGATCTCGAGGAAGGAAGAGTTTCTGCGCAGGAGGTAGCAGAGAACGACTCCATCCAGCAGTTCCTGCGTGGGACGAGGAGCGTGGCTGGCGTTGTCCTGCCTTCCAGTGAGCGGAAAAGCCTTTACCAGGCACTGAGAGAGCATCTCCTCGTGCCTGGTGCTGCTCTGATGCTCCTGCAAGTCCAGGCCTCCACCTGCAGCCTGACAGACCCCATAAAGAACAGAAGCTATTCAGTTGATGAGGCTGTCCGGGTCGGTCTCGTTGGCCCAGAGCTTCATGAGAAACTGTCTTCAGCTGAGAAGGCCATCACTGGATACAAGGACCCCTGCACTGGAGAAATGCTCTCTCTCTTCCAAGCCATCAGGAAGGGCTTTGTCCCCAAGGATCATGGCATTTGCCTTCTGGAGGCTCAGATGGCCACTGGGGGTATAATTGCTCCAGGCAGGCACCTCCGTGTCCCCACGGAGACAGCTTGCAAGTGGGGGTACCTGGATGAGGCCACGAGACAGCTCCTCTCCAGTCCTACTGATGACATGAAAGGGTTCTTTGACCCCGGCTCCAAGGAGAAGCTGACCTACGCAGCCCTGCTCAAGCGCTGCGTCACTGATCCCCACACGGGGCTCCTTCTGCTGCCACTTGGTGGAGAAAGTGGAGAAAGAGCCAAGGGAACCCCCCTCTTCTTTGACCATAGGACCCAAATGGCTCTGGAAAACACACGGGTACCCGTCGCTTTGGGTAAATTCAAGGGAAAGCCAGTGTCTCTCTGGAAACTCCTCTTTTCAGACTACATTCAGAGCGAGCAAAGAGCTGCCCTGGCCCAGCAGTACCTTGCTGGAACGCTCTCTACACAAGAGTTGGGTAAGGCAGTCAGCACCGCCATTGAGGAAATGGCTTCCACTGCCAATGTCACCTTTGAAGGCCTGAGGGACCGGGTGACAGCTGACCAGCTCCTGAGCTCCGAAATCATCAACAAAGATTTGTTTAAGAAGCTGAAGGAGGGAGAAACATCAGCCAAAGAAGTTGTCGGCATGGACACTGTCAAGAAGTACCTGCAAGGGACGGGTAGCATCGGTGGGCTCCTGCTTCCTGACTCCCAGGAGAAGATCAGCATCTACCAGGCAAAGCGGAAGGGACTGTTAAGACCAGGAACGTCACTGATCCTCCTGGAGGCACAGGCTGCGACCGGATTTGTCATTGACCCAGCTGCCAACAAAAGGTACTCTGTGGATGAGGCATTAAGAGCGAACGTCATTGGCCCAGATGTTTATGACAAGCTACTGACCGCAGAGAAATCAGTCACCGGCTACAGAGACCCCTACTCGGGGAACAAGATCTCCCTCTTCCAGGCCATGAAGAAGGAGCTCATCGTCAAGGAACATGCCATCCGCCTGCTGGAGGCCCAGATCGCCACTGGTGGCATCATTGACCCTGTCAACAGCCACCGCATCCCCGTGGAGGTGGCCTACAAGCGGGGCTACTTCGACAAGAAGATGAACTTAATCCTTTCCGATCCCAGTGATGACACCAAGGGCTTCTTTGACCCCAACACCCATGAGAACCTCACCTACCTGCAGCTGAAGGAGAAGTGCATCACAGAGCCCTCCACCGGGCTCTGCCTCCTTCCTCTGAACAGCAGGAAGCGCCAGTTTGTCGACGACACCACCAGACGGGTGTTCAGGGGGTCCTGGCTGCCTGTCAGGTTTGGGCGGTTACGGGGGGAGAAGGTCTCTGTGTGGGACCTGCTGAACTCCGAGTACTTCAGCGAGGGGAGGCGCCGGGAGATATTCAACCACTACCAGCTGAGGAAGCTCACCCTGGAGCAGATTCGCATCATGTTAGAGGAGGAAATGAAAAAATGGGCCCCCATCAAGTTCCCAGCCATGAGAGGCTGTGTCAGTGCCTACCACCTGATGGAAACTGGTGTCATCGACAAGGCCCTATTCGAGAAGGTGTTGGAGGGATCCGTCACACCAGAGGAAGTCCTGCACATGGACTCTGTCAGAAAGTACCTCTATGGCTCTGGCAGCATAGGGGGGATTGTACTCCAGCCATCGAACCAGAGGATAAGCATTTACGAGGCCATGAAGAAAAACATCATGGTTCCAGGAGTAGCCCTCCCACTACTAGAGGCCCAGGCTGCCACCGGCTTCATCATTGACCCGGTGAACAATCAGAAACTCTGTGTGGATGATGCCATCAAGGAGGGGGTCATTGGGCCCGAAGTCCACGAGAAGCTGCAGCATGCGGAAGGGGCTGTAACAGGCTACAAAGATCCTTTCACAGGCAAGAAGATCCCCCTCTTCCAGGCAATGAAGAAGGGCCTGATTGCTGACAAACAGGCCATGCAGCTGATGGAGGTGCAGATGGCTACTGGAGGCATCATTGATCCAACATGTGGCCACTATATCCCCGTGGAAGCTGCCCAGGAGCGAGGGTGCCTGGATGAGGACACAAACAAGGTTCTTTCTAAGGCCAGTGACAGCACCAGAGCTTTCTGTGTCCCAGACAGCAAGGAGACTGTCACCTACGCCGAGCTAATCAAGCGCTGCCAGAAGGATGAGGTCTCTGGCTTCCACCTGCTGCCTCTGCCACAGACAGCGGCTCCCACCTACACCGACGAGGAAATCCAACAGATTTTTAAGAAAACTGTGGTGAAGGAGAAAGGTGTCTCCCTGTGGGAGCTTATCCACGCTGGGTACTTCACTGAGGAGCAGAGGAGGGACTTTGTGGAGAGGTTCCGCTCGGAGGAAATGTCGCTGCAGCAGCTGGTAGCTCTTGTGCTCAGGCTGGTCGGGGAGATGGAGATGAAAGCCCGCTCCCAGATCACCTTGGAAGGCTTGCAGGGCAGCGTCCCTGCTGTCTGGCTGCTGGATGCTGGCATCATCACTGAGAAGACGTTTGAAGAACTGGCTCAGGGCATAAAAGCTCCCGAGGAAGTGGCTGCCATGGAGAGTGTGAAGAAGTACTTGCAGGGCACAGGCAACATTGCCGGGGTGTTTGTAGAGGCATCCAAAAGGAAGATGAGCTTTTACGATGCCATGAAGAACAATCTCCTCCTCCCTGGGGCTGCTGTGAGGCTGCTGGAAGCTCAGGCAGCCACAGGATATCTCACCAACCCCACAACAAGCCAGAGACTCAGCGTGAGGGAGGCTGTGAAAGCAGCCGTTGTGGGCGAAGAGCTCACCGAGAAGCTCCTTCTCGCAGAGAGGGCAGTGACTGGCTACACAGACCCCTACACCGGGAGCTCCATCTCCTTATGCCAAGCACTCAGGAAGGAGCTGATCCCCCTGGGAGATGCTGTTCCCTTGCTAGAGGCCCAGCTGGCCACAGGAGGGGTCATCGATCCCATTCACCACCTCCACCTTCCACTCCAGGCTGCGTGCAGGTACGGCTTCTACGACGAGGAGCTGAACCAAACCCTCTCTCAGCTGGATGACACCACCAGAATCTTTTTTGACCCAAACACAAAGGAGAACGTGACCTACCAGCAGCTGAAGGAAAGGTGCTTTCAGGAGGCTGAGTCAGGTCTCTGGCTCCTTCCACTCTCGGAGAATGCCATGTTCTGTGTGGATGAGCAAACCATGGAGGTGCTGAAATCTGTGACCGTTTGTGTCAACATAGGGCGATTCAAAGGACAGACAGTGTCAGTCTGGGACCTTCTCAACTCCGAGTACCTCTCCGACAGCAAGAGAAGGGAGCTGGTGCAAAAGTACAAGGATGAGAGTGCTGAAGTGCTGCACGAAATCATAGCAGTTGTCACCACGATCATTAAAGAGACCGAGACACAAGGCAAGAAGTTTGCATTCAAGGGCCTGCGGAAGAGAGTATCTGCCAGTGACCTCTTCCAGTCTCAGCTGATAGACAAAAAAACCCTCGATGAGCTCAACCAGGGGAAGAAAACTGTCAAAGAAGTCACTGAAATGGACTCTGTCCGCAGGTACCTGGAGGGCAGCAACTTCATAGCAGGGGTCCTCATACAGCCAAGCAATGAGAAGATGAGCATCTACCAAGCCATGAGGAAGGGCATCCTGAGGCCAGGGACAGCACTGGTGCTGCTGGAGGCGCAGGCTGCCACTGGCTATATCATCAACCCGGAGAAAAAACAGAAGTTTTCAGTAGAGGAAGCGTTAAAGGCAGGTCTAATTGGAGGAGAGATTTATGAAAAGCTGCTCTGTGCAGAAAAAGCCGTGACGGGCTACACCGACCCCTACACAAAAGCTCCAATGTCCCTGTTTGAAGCCATGAGCCAAGGACTGATTGTGAAGAGCCACGGCATCCGCCTGCTTGAGGCCCAGATCGCCACCGGTGGCATCATTGACCCCGTCCACAGCCACCGTATCCCCGTGGAGGTGGCCTACCAGCGTGGTTACTTCAACCAGGAGATGAACCAGATCCTCTCCGACCCCACTGACGACACCAAGGGCTTCTTTGACCCCAACACCCACGAGAACCTCACCTACCTGCAGCTCCTGGAGAGATGCGTCCAAGATTCCGAGACTGGGTTGTACATGCTACAAGTTGTAAAGGAAGGAGGAAAGTACTTCTACATTGATGAAGCTACGAAACAGGTTTTGCGCTCAAAGCCCCTTGAAGTGAAAGTTGGAAAGTTTAAGGACCAAACGGTTTCCGTCTGGGAAATTCTCTGCTCTCATTACATCTCTGAGCGGAAAAGGAAAGAACTGGTGATGCAGTACAAATGCAAAACCCTCACGCTGGAAGATCTTATAGCCCTCATCCTCAAAATAATCGAAGATACAGAGCAAAGAGCAGAAGCCCTCAAGCTTAAAGGACTCCGGGGGGATGTGTCGGTATCAGAACTGTTTAACTCCGAGATAATTGACAAGAAAACTCTAGATCAGCTGCAGGATGGGAGTCTCACGCTTGCCAGTCTCACAAAGAGGGACACCATCCAAAGGTACTTGGATGGCACTGGGTGCATTGCCGGAGTTCTACTCCCATCAAGGAAAGAGAAGATGAGCATCTACCATGCCCTGGAGAAGGGCCTCCTCACAGAGCAATGTGCACTGGGGCTGCTGGAGGCACAGGCTGCCACTGGTTTTCTCATTGACCCACTGAAAAACAAGAAGCTCTCTGTGGATGAGGCCGTGTCCTCCGGGCTGGTGGGTAGCAACTTGCACGAGAAACTCCTGTCAGCAGAGAAAGCTGTGACAGGATACACAGATCCTCACACAGGAAAGATAATATCCCTCTTCCAGGCCATGAGGCAGAAGATAACAGTCAAGGAGGATGCAATCCGCCTGCTGGAGGCCCAGCTGGCCACCGGCGGCATCATCGACCCCATCCACAGCCACCGCCTCCCTGTAGAGGTGGCCTACAAAAGGGGCTACTTGGATGATGACACATTTCTCCTACTTTCTGATCCAGATCATGGTAGCAAAGGTTTTATAGATCCAAACACTCATGAGAAAATCAGCTATAGCCAGCTCCTACAGAGATGTTCCAAAGACAGAGACACAGGGCTGTACCTGCTGCAGGTCATGGAGAAGCAAGATGACTATTTCTACATTGATGAGCAAACAAAAAATGCCCTCTTATCTACAAAGGTACAAGTGACTGTTGGAAAATACAAAGGACAGGAGTTATCTCTGTGGGAACTTCTCTGTTCTGAGTACATCACAGATGAGAAAAGAAAAGAACTGGTGAAAAAATATAAACGAGAATCCCATCACATTATACAAGGAATCATTGAAACAATACTAAATATCATTAAAGAAAAAGAAGAGGACAGAAGTGATGTCTGGTTCCGAGGACTCCGACAACAAATAACAGCCTCCGAACTCCTGAGTGCACAGATAATTACAGAAGAAACAATGGAAAAACTCAACGAAGGGAAAGAGACAGCCCAAGAAATAGCACAAACGGAAAGTGTGAGAAGATACCTTGAGGGAACTGGAAGCATTGCCGGTGTGCTCGTGCCCTCCAAGGTAGACCAAACCAAGATGGAGAAGATGAGTATCTACCAGGCCATGTGGAAGGGCATCCTAAGACCAGGGACAGCATTGGTGCTGCTGGAGGCCCAGGCTGCCACTGGCTTCATCATTGACCCCCTGGCCAACAAGAAGCTCTCCGTGGACGAGGCCATCTCCTGCGGGCTGGTGGGCAGCGAGCTACAAAAGAAACTTCTTTCTGCAGAGAGATCAGTCACAGGGTACTATCACCCAAGCACAGGACAAAAAATGTCGCTCTTCCAGGCCATGAAGAAGGAGCTCATCGTCAAGGAGCACGGCATCCGCCTGCTCGAGGCCCAGATCGCCACCGGCGGCATCATCGACCCCGTCCACAGCCACCGCCTCCCCGTGGAGGTGGCCTACCAGCGCGGCTACTTGGACCGGGAGATGAGCCACGTCCTCTCCGACCCCACCGACGACACCAAGGGCTTCTTCGACCCCAACACCCACGAGAACCTCACCTACCTGCAGCTCCTGCGCCGCTGCGTGCCCGACCCGGACACGGGGCTGCTCATGCTCCAGCTGATGGACAAGGGCTCCGTGCTCTACCAGCTGACCGAGGACGCCCGCAAAGCCCTGCAGGCCGCCCGCGTCACCCTCAGCGTGGGGCTCTTCCAGGGACAGAGCGTCACCCTCTGGGAGCTCCTCTTCTCCCGCTACGTGCCCGACCACCGGCGCCAGGACCTCCTCCGCAGCTACAAGGCGGGGACGCTCACCGTCTCAGAGATGATCACCCTCCTCACCGCCATCGTCACCGGGGCTGAGGGCCAGGGCCACGGCGCCCACCCACCACAGAAGCCCACGCAGCGGGAGGCCCCGCCGCCGCCGGCCCAGAACGGCGAGGCCGCGGGCTCCCGGCAGGAGCGGGAGCGGGAGCTGGAGCTGGAGCTGGAGCGGTCCCTCAAGGCCCACCACGTGGAGGTCTCAGCGGGAGGCTTCGAGGGCAGGAAGGTCTCCCTGTGGGAGCTCCTCTTCTCCCAGTACGTCTCCCAGGCAAAGAGGCAGGAGCTGCTGGGGCAGGTGCGCGCCGGGAGCCTGGCGCTGGACGAGCTGGCGCGGCTCCTCAGCGTGCTCATCCAGGAGGCGGTGGAGCGCAGCAGCAAGGTGAAGTTCACGGGCCTCAGGAGGCAGGTGACCGCCTCGGACCTGCTGGACTCGGGCATCATCGACAAGGACACGCTGGCCGACCTGGTGCAGGGCTCCAAGACGGTGCAGGAGGTGACGCAGATGGCCTCCGTCAAGCGCTACCTGGACGGCACGGGCTGCATCGCCGGCGTGCTGGTGCCCTCCAAAGCCGACCCCGCCACCATGGAGAAGATGAGCATCTACCAGGCCATGTGGAAGGGCATCCTGCGGCAGGGCACGGCCCTGGTGCTGCTGGAGGCGCAGGCTGCCACCGGCTTCCTCGTTGACCCCCTGGCCAACAAGAAGCTCTCCGTGGACGAGGCCGTCTCCTGCGGGCTGGTGGGCAGCGAGCTGCACGAGAAGCTCCTCTCGGCCGAGAGGGCCGTCACGGGCTACACCGACCCCTACACCGGCCAGCAGATCTCCCTCTTCCAGGCCATGAAGAAGGAGCTCATCGTCAAGGAGCACGGCATCCGCCTGCTCGAGGCCCAGATCGCCACCGGCGGCATCATCGACCCCGTCCACAGCCACCGCCTCCCCGTGGAGGTGGCCTACCAGCGCGGCTACTTGGACCGGGAGATGAGCCACGTCCTCTCCGACCCCACCGACGACACCAAGGGCTTCTTCGACCCCAACACCCACGAGAACCTCACCTACCTGCAGCTCCTGCGCCGCTGCGTGCCCGACCCGGACACGGGGCTGCTCATGCTCCAGCTGATGGACAAGGGCTCCGTGCTCTACCAGCTGACCGAGGACGCCCGCAAAGCCCTGCAGGCCGCCCGCGTCACCCTCAGCGTGGGGCTCTTCCAGGGACAGAGCGTCACCCTCTGGGAGCTCCTCTTCTCCCGCTACGTGCCCGACCACCGGCGCCAGGACCTCCTCCGCAGCTACAAGGCGGGGACGCTCACCGTCTCAGAGATGATCACCCTCCTCACCGCCATCGTCACCGGGGCTGAGGGCCAGGGCCACGGCGCCCACCCACCACAGAAGCCCACGCAGCGGGAGGCCCCGCCGCCGCCGGCCCAGAACGGCGAGGCCGCGGGCTCCCGGCAGGAGCGGGAGCGGGAGCTGGAGCTGGAGCTGGAGCGGTCCCTCAAGGCCCACCACGTGGAGGTCTCAGCGGGAGGCTTCGAGGGCAGGAAGGTCTCCCTGTGGGAGCTCCTCTTCTCCCAGTACGTCTCCCAGGCAAAGAGGCAGGAGCTGCTGGGGCAGGTGCGCGCCGGGAGCCTGGCGCTGGACGAGCTGGCGCGGCTCCTCAGCGTGCTCATCCAGGAGGCGGTGGAGCGCAGCAGCAAGGTGAAGTTCACGGGCCTCAGGAGGCAGGTGACCGCCTCGGACCTGCTGGACTCGGGCATCATCGACAAGGACACGCTGGCCGACCTGGTGCAGGGCTCCAAGACGGTGCAGGAGGTGACGCAGATGGCCTCCGTCAAGCGCTACCTGGACGGCACGGGCTGCATCGCCGGCGTGCTGGTGCCCTCCAAAGCCGACCCCGCCACCATGGAGAAGATGAGCATCTACCAGGCCATGTGGAAGGGCATCCTGCGGCAGGGCACGGCCCTGGTGCTGCTGGAGGCGCAGGCTGCCACCGGCTTCCTCGTTGACCCCCTGGCCAACAAGAAGCTCTCCGTGGACGAGGCCGTCTCCTGCGGGCTGGTGGGCAGCGAGCTGCACGAGAAGCTCCTCTCGGCCGAGAGGGCCGTCACGGGCTACACCGACCCCTACACCGGCCAGCAGATCTCCCTCTTCCAGGCCATGAAGAAGGAGCTCATCGTCAAGGAGCACGGCATCCGCCTGCTCGAGGCCCAGATCGCCACCGGCGGCATCATCGACCCCGTCCACAGCCACCGCCTCCCCGTGGAGGTGGCCTACCAGCGCGGCTACTTGGACCGGGAGATGAGCCACGTCCTCTCCGACCCCACCGACGACACCAAGGGCTTCTTCGACCCCAACACCCACGAGAACCTCACCTACCTGCAGCTCCTGCGCCGCTGCGTGCCCGACCCGGACACGGGGCTGCTCATGCTCCAGCTGATGGACAAGGGCTCCGTGCTCTACCAGCTGACCGAGGACGCCCGCAAAGCCCTGCAGGCCGCCCGCGTCACCCTCAGCGTGGGGCTCTTCCAGGGACAGAGCGTCACCCTCTGGGAGCTCCTCTTCTCCCGCTACGTGCCCGACCACCGGCGCCAGGACCTCCTCCGCAGCTACAAGGCGGGGACGCTCACCGTCTCAGAGATGATCACCCTCCTCACCGCCATCGTCACCGGGGCTTGGTCTTTATTTCCTTAATGTTTCTGGAAAATAATTGGAAAACCTTTCATGTATTTTTATTTGTACTGCATTGGCGAAGAATTCAGCTGTTGTGTATAATTCTGTTGCTGCTGGTCGTTTTCTTTCTTTTTTTGAATTGCATTTTTTAGACCTATTATTCCATTCAGAGAATTTCCTTATTTCTCTCTTTATTTGCGATACCCTCCCTTCATCAGGTAGAGCTTTTAAGTGACTCACCCAAGGGTTCTTTTTTAGCGTAATAAGCCCTTGTCTTCTGTGGTCTTTCAGGAACACAGCAATCAGCCTGGGTTATCTCAGGTCTTTTTTGTGAAATACGGTGTCCTCATTTTCCTCCTCCAGGCTTGACTGGCACTATGCCTTTTGTGGTGCATGAGGTGTAGTTAGAATGGTATTTTTATTCTCTTTCTAGTGTGTTTTGTTATGCATGAGGAACATTTTTTTCTTAGGTTTTCACTGCATTATTAGAGTTGCAGTTTTTCAAACCTGAATTTTGCCTGGAGAGTGTGTTTCCCCATAAGGGTGATCCCAGGGTGGTGTGAGGTCTTCCTGGAGTGGGATGCATCATCTGTGCTCACTCCTAATGCCTCAGCCTGTCCAGCTTTTTGGGAGGGTCTGGACTCCAGACCCCCTGTGTTTGGAGCTGTTTGGTCCCTCACTGACACGTACATTTAATTTGCTCACGTTTTCTCCTTCCCCTCCCTCCAGCTCTCCAAGGACCCTCCATAGAGAGTTCTGCTGTGGGCCCCACACAGGAGCCCAGACCCCGTGGGGGACATCGTTGTGCCATATCTCTTGTCCGTCCACCTGTGGTTGGCAGTGGCAGCCCCAATCCCTTCTGCGTAGGACCTCTGAGCTCCTTTCACCCTCCCGTGTCCCGAGCTGACTCGGCCAACGTGCCACGTTGCGGGAGAGCCGGCAGCCCCAGGACTGCTCTGCTGCAGAGTTCAGGGCTGAATAATTCTACCACTGCTTAATAGAAGGAAACTTGCTCTCCTTAAATGCATTGCCTTAAGCTATTTGCCTTCATTAACCCAGTAATGTCCTGGAAAATGGGGTTTTTGCCACAGCTTGTCAAGCTGATAGCCAGATGCAAGTAGAGATTAGCCATGGAACACCTTACCATAACCTGCCGCATAGCCCAGAGATTTGCATGGGCTCAAGAAGTGATGGGCCAAATTAAGGGCCTCAGAGGGGCCTCGGTGATTCGAGCTCCTGTGTCATTGAAGAAGCTTTGTAGAATCATGGAACTGTCTGGGTTGGGAGGGACCTTTCAGCTCCTGGAGTCCCACCATGGACCCACCACTGACCCGTGTCCCTCAGCACCACGTCTGCCCGGCTTTTCAATCCCTCCAGGGATGGCGGCTCCACCACTGCCCTGGGCAGCCTCTGCCAAGGTTTCACAACCCTTTCCAGGGAGGAATTTTCCCCAGTTTCCATCCCAACCCTCCCCTGTCCCAACTTGGGGCTGTTTCCTCTTGTTCCTTGGGAGAAGAGACCGACCCCCCCAGCTACACCCTCCTTTCAGGGAGCTGTAGAAAGCAATAAAGTCTCTCCTTAGTCGTCTTCCAGACTTTTGCTCTCTCCTGGAAGTGGTTTACAAAATGCTTTAGCCTATGCCTTTCACACATTCCTGTGTTCCTGCCCAAACCCCCTGCCCACTGACTGTTTCTTCTTCATCAGTCTCTACTTCCACATTTTTCAGCCTCCACTGAGCTTTTCCCTTCATCTCCAAGCGCCCCATTTCCCAGCTGCCTTGTTCCTCAGCTCATGCCTTGGGGACCCATCAATCCCTGTGGAGCGGGATGGACACTTGCAGCCCTCTAGTTCTGGTTTCACCCTTTCCAGGGTCCCTTTTCTGGTGATAAGCTCTTCCTGGCAGCTGCCCCATCTCTGTACTAAACCTGACTGCTGTAAGGCCAGTTCTTGATAGGATCTTTGGTCTTAAGCACCCAGCATAAACCATTTAACCAAACCTGACCAAAAACTCATGGCTTATTTTTTTATATATCTGTTAGTATATACAAGAGAGAAGGAACCAAGAGGAAAGCTCATAGTGTTCTGAAGTTCTCAGTCTCCTAGCCCTGATGCATCCTCTGCCAACAGTCTGCTCCTCAAAGCTCGGGTGTTGTCACCTTGTAGCTCTGGATACAAGAAAGAACCAAGATTTAATATATAGGACTGAGGAACAGGAATGTCTCCTCTTCAATGAAACACCATGGACTTCTTGGGGGGCATCTCACCAGGAGGACACCATGAATCAGAGGTGTACAAGGCACGGAGGGCAGAGGAGGGTGTGCTGGTGACAGCGTGGGGCTGTTATCAGGGAGCTTAGAGCTGGGGCAAAGTCACAAATGCATCAACACAACCCTGGACCCAAGTCCCAGCCATTTCAAGGTCAGAGAGTGTCTGTGCCCGGTCTGAGCCAGGCAGGAGAAAGGGCAGATCCTGAGCCGGGACGTAGAAGGGGCATAAAACCATAAATGACATGGGCAGGGCAAGCAGGGAACAGGTATTTGCTATTTTCCGTTAAGAACCACATTGCAGGAAAGATTTCTGTGGTCGCTGCTGGGATGTCACAGGGGAAAAAGCTGCAAATGCTCAGAGGAAAGGAGATACGAGAAAAAAATGAGCCCTTTTCTCAGGGCGGGGGTCACCAGAGGGACCCATGCTGAGAGCGGGGCCGTCCAACACGTGCAGCCATGGCCTGGGAAACGCTGCCAAGAGGGAAGGAGCAGATGGTGTTAAATTATTCAGCTTAACAAAGAGAAGCACCAGCTGCAGAAGCTGCAGGAAGAGCAAGCAGAGAGCAGGACCAATGCAGCAGACTCTGTCCCAGGCAGGTGAAGAGGGGCAGGTGGGGACAAGCCATCTCCATGTCCCAGCCCCAAGGTCCTGCCCTCCACCAGCAAGAATCCTAACTGATTCTGTGGTGTCTGCTCAGCAGCTGAGGCAGTAAATCAAATATTAAGGTTAGGGAGGGAAGACGTCCATGCCAGGATAACGCACACAGAATCATAGAATCATCTAGGTTGGAAGGGACCTTAAAGATCATATAGTCCAACGATCAACCTAACTCTGACAAAAAAAATAAATAAGAAATAAGCAATAAAAAAAATCACTAAACCATATTCCTGAGGACCATGTCAACCCATCTTCTGAACACCTCCAGGGATGGTGCCTCAACCACTCCCCTGGGCAGCCTACCCCAATGCTGGATAACCCTTTCCGTGAAGAAATTTTTCCTAGTAGTCAATCTAAACCTCCCCTGGTGCAACTTGAGGCCATTTCCCCTTGTCCTATCTCCTGTGACTTGGGAGACGAGATCGGCTCCTGCTTCTCTACACTCCCCTTCAAATCCCAGAATGATGTGAAGTTGGAAGGGACCTCTGGAGATCACCTCCTCCAACCCCCACCCAGAGCAGGGGCACCCAGAGCAGGTCCCACAGGGGGGTGGGAATGTCTCCAGAGAAGGAGACTCCAGCCCCTCTCTGGGCAGCCTCTGCCAGGGCTCTGCCACCCTCACCCCAAACAAGCTCCTCCTCATCTTGAGGTGGAACTTCCCATGTTCAAGTTTGCGCTCATTCCCCCTTGTCCTGTCACTGGACACCACTGGAAAAAGCTTGGCCCCATCCTCCTGACACCCACCCTTTTGTATTTATAGGCATTGATCAGACTCCCCCTCAGCCTTCTCTTCTCCAGACTGAACAGCCCCAAGTCCCTCAGTCTTTCCACCTTCTCAAGAGAGGTGGTCCATCATCATCTCTGTAACCCTGCACACAACCTGTGTCCATCCAGAGGCACCACAAAACACCCCCAGAGGAGACCAGGGCTGCAACCAGGACCTCAGAAGTGGCCCAGCCTTGGTGGCCAGTGGGGCTTCGGTGGTGCAAGGCAGTGGGGCTGGTGAGTACCTGATCCTCTGAGGGCATCTGGCCAAAGGAGGCACCAAGGAGAAGACACAGGGACAAACCCCATCAACAAAGGATAGGGGAGGCGAGTGGGAACAAAGGACACAGGAAGCAGCGGTGGGATCAAAGCTGGTGGGACCAAACCTGGTCGGTCTCATCAGTCGAGTGTGGGGCCAGAGGATGTTTGTTCTTTCCCTTGAGATGATAAGGGGAGGGCGGGAGGCAAACAGAGACATAAAACCTGACCAGACCAATTAGCGTTAACGAAGACAATAACCAGAAACAAACCTCATTGGCGGCACTAATTGGTGGGCTATTAGGGAACAGCAGGCACAGCTGGTGCCAATGTCACCCTGGGGGTCTCAGCATCAGCAGCTGGGGGGGGGAGGGCTCATCTCTCTGGATCTCGGGGGGTCCCACAGATCATGTCCCCAAAACCGGCTGCTGAGGGGGACCGAGGAGCTCCATGCCGGTGGCCAGAGCAGAGCTATGGGTCACAGCCCATGTGCCTGGGGGGGCGAGCATCTCCCCCATCCTGGTGGGGGGTGGGTTGTGTGTGCGTGTTCACCAGCAGCCTTTGAGCTGTACCAGAGGGTGAGCAGGGGACCCCTGGGCGAGGATCTGGGTGAGGGGGGCCAGGAGGACAGAGGGGCCGTGCTGGCACCTGGGGGGCTGGCAGCCTGCGCTGGCACTGGGGGGATCTGAGCCCATCAGCGTGTGTCCTTCCCCTGGCCGTGCCCAGGAGACTCTTCTGCTGGGGAGATGGGAAGCCAAGCGATAAACGAGTTCCTGGAAAGGGTGGCAGGAGGCAGTTGCCACCATGGCACTCCCCTGGCTTCTCCTCCTCCCCAGGTGGCCAGGCAGCCTGAAGCACCAGCCAGCCTCCCCGATCTGTTTCCCAGGAATCACGTGCCGGGGCGGGAGATGCTTGAGAGCTCCTTTCCCACAGAGATAGGGGTTGTGCAATCACATACCTCCAATCCAGAATAAAAAGGATTTTTGTCTTTTCTCTTTGTCCACGGTTGCCTGCCTGTGCCCCTCCCTTGGGTGCTGGCTCCTTGTGGTTTTTGAAAGAGGACATTTTTGTTATTCCTTCCTTCAAAAGTGCATTGATGGTGTGGCTCGGCCAGACGAGCACGGGCAGAGCAGGCGAGGTGGTGCCTGCAGTCCAGGTGACGCTCCCCCTCAGGTCCCACACGGCTGGGCAGGTCCATGGCGCATGGTTGGCCCTGTGCCCTGGGACACCTCTGCTCCGGGAACACCGGTGCACGAGCTCCACACCGTGGGGCCCGTCAGGCACAGGGACACCTGCTGATGGTGATTTTCTCTGGTTAATATTGTCCCCTGACACGTGGGGGAGCTGCCCCAGCATGGGTGTCCCTGGAGGGATGCCCCAGCACGAGGAATGCCCTCTCCTCCCCAGAGACCCCTGAACCCCCCAAGTGACCCAAACCCCTGGTACGGCTGCAGGGACCGGTTGGGAGGGAGTCATGTCAGCAGCCAAGTTCTGGCAGGGTCTCCCCAAATCAAATGCTGACAGAAAACAACACTCCCCAAATGCCTCGGTGCTGAAGCATCCCTGAGAAAGCCACCTCTCTGATGTGGTTCGTGGCTGCTGCAGCCAAGGACACCTACACCTTCCGGCAGGCGAGGCCGAGCCACCCGGCTGCAGATACCTGAACCCAGGTGTCTCCGTGCCCAGCTTCCTGGGAAGCTGCAGGACCAGCCGGTGAGTCACCCAGCACTGGGAGGACAGGGACATCGTAGAATTGTGTGAGTTGGAAGGGACCTTTCAGCTCCTGGAGTCCCACCATGGACCCAGCACTGACCAACACAAGGCCTTGTGGCCAGCAGAACTCTCCTGCAGCTGCTCACGCCAAGTGTCGGAGTTGGGCTGGTGCCAAGAGAATGGGGAATGTGCCCCGTGACATCCGTGTCACCGGGTAAGACGCTGATGATGCTCTCGTGTGGCAGACAGAGAGACGGGAGCCCTCCTCTCAGTCTCAGGTCCAGCTACGAGCCCCAGGAGCAGGGGGAAGGGATGGAGGCAGCACAGTCCCACAGGCCGGGCAGGGACACACGTACCCGTGACCATAACACACCAGGGAACAGCAGATTTGGGAAAGGGGCTGAGGATTCCAGCCCAAGCCCCCTTTCCCTCGGGAAGGCGTGCAGGCTCTGGAGTCACCCACGGGACACAGAAGTGGCCACCTGCCTGGAGATGCGCTTGTGGGCACCCTTCTTCATCCGCCCTTCTTGGGGGTGTGGCAGAGGAGCAGGGGAGTCCCAGGACCACGGAGGGCCAGGTTGTCCTGTGCCAGGGTGTGCAGCCCCCTTGGTGGCTCCAGGAGCTGGCACTGGGCTCACGGGCAGCGTCGTCCCAGTCCCCTGGGGAAATACCTCTGGGATGCAGGGCTGGGCACAGCACCATCTCCAAAAACCCATCCATCTCCAAAAAGCCTTTGTCAGTGCCTTAGAGAAGATGGTGAAAGCTTCAGGGCTGAAAAGAAAAAGTTTTGTCATGTCCCAGAAACAGGTTGAGGAGGGAGGGAAGTGAGGGATTAAATGCTTGGTCCTTATCAGGGGAGAGGGAGCCCAGTTCTCCACTAATGAGGGGACAATCTGGGAGTGGGGTTGACGTGTGGCACCAGCGTTTACACGTCACACAGCTCCATTCAAGCCAATTGGTGCCTGTGAGGGTAGGGCTGCCTGGAGACTTGCACGTGTCGGAGGAGGTGATGTTCAGGGGTGATGCTCAGGGCTGGGATGATGCTCAGGGTTGGGGTGATGCTCAGGTTGAGGTGACATTGAGGGCTGGGGTGATGCCCAGGGCTGGGGTGATGCTCAGGACTGAGGTAACATTCAGGGCTGGGGTGATGCTCAGGGCTGAGGTAACATTCAGGGCTGGGGTGACACTCAGGGCTGATTCACCTCATGTGATGTTTGTGCAGCCCAGGTCACCCCAGCTGCCCCAGGCAGCCAAGGGAGAGCAGGTCCCTGTGGCCGGTGGTTGCCCTCTGGACATGTCCTTCAGCAGACACGTGCAAGTGGTCAGAGGTGTCACACTCCGGGCTCTGCTGAGTGTGTTCTCCATGGCTATAACGGGACCTGGGCTCCCACTGTGGGGAGGTAAATCACAGCCTCTGCCTTGACAGAGGCAAAGTAACGCACCTTCAAGGGAAGCCACCAACCACCAGCACTTCAGAGGTGTCTAAACAAGCTGGGCCACCTCCAGATAGTGGCTCAGTGTCACCAGCACCGGAGTGTCCTGCTCGGCCATGGTCAGTGCCGTGCAGGACCCCTGGCACCCCCTCGCACCCTGCTCCCACCGAGCCTGCAGCCCAAAATAAGCTTTTGCTGCAGCCCAACCCACAGTGCAGAGCAATTAGCAGTAAATTGGTGGCATCAGTAACGAGCCAATGTGGCACAGGTTGAAAATAGATGTCACAGGCTTCTGAGGAGGGAGTAAAGACAACGGGAAAGGGTCCCATGCCCACCTTCATCCCCGGGAACAGGTGGACCTGCTGCCCAGGTGCGTTCCCCGGAGCCAAAATACGTGGGTGAGTCAGAGGGAAATTGCCTCCGTGTGCTGATCCAGCCCGGCGAGCACCCACGCAGCCAGGAATGTGCACCCCAAGCAGGACACCCCGGGGGAGGAAGGGCAGGGGCAGGTGGCACCTCCTCCTCCTCCTCCGCGCAGGGGCACCCTGCCACACACACCCCCTCGGGGATGGAGTCACGGCCCCACATGGGTACAATCTGTGCCTTGCACATACAGTGTCTCACGCTCACATGGTGTCACCCACACGCAGAGTCACGTGTGTGCAGGGGCACGGACACACGTGCAGGGCGATGGCAGCACAGACGTGGTGACAGATGGCTCTCAGCCACAGGGACCATCAACACCCAGACGCACACAGTATCTTCTCCCAAGGAACAGGTGATGGGACAAGAGGAAACAGCCCCAAGTTGGGCCAGGGGAGGGTTAGGATGGAGAGTGGGGAAAATTCCTTCCTGGAAAGGGCTGTGAAGCCTTGGCAGAGGCTGCCCAGGGCAGTGGTGGAGTCACCATCCGTGGAGGGATTGAAAAGCCGGGCAGACGTGGTGCTGAGGGACACGGGTCAGTGGTGGGTCGGTCAGTGCTGGGTCCATGGTTGGACTCCAGGAGCTGAAAGGTCCCTTCCAACCTGGATAATTCTAAGATTCTATGGTTCTGTCTGACCATGAATGACACCCCCCCTGGCTACACCCTCCTTTCAGGGAGTTGTAGAGAGCGATGGGGTCTCTCCTCAGCCCCCTTTTCTCCAGGCTGAACCCTCCCAGTTCCCTCAGCTGCTCCTCACAAGACTTGTGTACTCCAAAGGACAAGGGTCTTTGCTCCTGCTGAGCCCCTCAGCAGCCACCCTCCTGCAGTGGGACAGACCCAGCCTGTCCCTTGTCCCCTGGAATTTCAGCTGTGCTCCTGTCTCTCACCACAGGGCAGGGCCACGGTGTCCTCCCCAGGGGCGGGGAAGGGAAGGATTTAAATTGGATGCTTCCCTCAAAGGAGCTGCTCATCCTGGCTTGAGAGACAGCGGGAGGAGAAGGAGGAGGAGGAGGAAGAAGACCAGAGCCTGCAGGGAGCCAGCTGCCCTGGGGACCTGCCCAGCAGGTAGGACAGAGCCCATCCGGAGGGACCACCAGGGCTACCATGGGTTACCGGGGCCACCACACTGCTCCACTTGGGCATGGGACCCTCTGTGAAGATACCTGCAAGGAATGTGGTGACCTTGCCTCTACCCCAAAACCTAGTGCTCGGAGGGCAGCTGCTGGCACCCAGGGAATGGGTGGGCAGGAGGTCTCCAGGCAGGACTGGGTCCTTTCCAAGAAGGGACAAAGTGACAGGATGGCACCAGGGGTGGATGGAACTGCTGCTCCATGCGATGCGCTTTGTGTCCTGGACACCTGAGCTGTGCAGATGGGGACCTCGGGGTATGGGAGGGAAGGGACCAGGGCTGTGGGACCTGCCCGAGCCTGCAGGCAGCAGGACAGCACGGTGGGGTCTCAGCTGGATGCGAGGGGCAGGAGGCTGCGGGGCGAGCCCTGGGCTGGGGGGGGCTGATGCAATTTCACCCACTGGGGCTCAGGTGGGGCTTGTGACCACAGCACCACTGGGACACCCCTGCTCACTCTGGGCCACCTCTGCTCACTCCTGGACCCCCCCGGCTGCTCCTGGCCACACTGCTCACTCTGGGCCACCTCTGCTCACTCCTGGACCCCCCCGGCTGCTCCTGGCCACACTGCTCACTCTGGGCCACCTCTGCTCACTCCTGGCCACCCTGCTCACTCCAGGCTACCCTGCTCACTCCTGGCCACCCCTGCTTGCTCTGGAAAACCGCTTCCACCGGAGCCTCTTGGGCTGGGCTGCTGGGACAGCTTGAAAGGAGAGGCATCTCCTGCCCCGGGAGCTGCGTGTGCAGCCAAGCCCCAGCATCAGGAGCCCTGATTAGAGACCAGCTAATGATAGCTTGGGGTTGGGCAATGCCTTCGCAGTCTATGGGGTGTTTGCACGACATCCCTGTCCTACATAGGTGTCGCCGGCTGCAGGGTGTGACACGGCGCTCCGCTGCGTCCCGCACCCGGTGCCACCCGTGCCGGCAGCACAACCGGCCCATCATCACCTCCTGGGAGGGTTCAGGAGAAGAGGTTCTCCAGGGCTGGGGCCACAGGGTGGACCAGAGCCGCCAGCTGCCAAAGAGCCCAAAACCATGGGGAGGGTCCCCAGAGAGGCAGGGGCTGGTCTGTGACATGGGGATGAACCTCCTCCCATCACCATCCATCTGCACCAGCATCCGTCCGATATTTAAATGGATCAAAAGCAATGACTCAGAGACTTTTAGACCAGTTAGGTAAACAGTCGGGGAATTAAGCAGTGACCCCGATAATGAGTTAAGCATATCATTAATGTCAGTCACTGCTGTTTATGGGAAATGGGTGTTCCCAAAAAAATGTTTTGGGTTTTGTTTTTGCCGGTTTTACAAGACCGTGGCCTCGTCACCACGCAGTGCTGTGGAGGTGGAAGGTCTGCAGGGCCTCCAGAAGAGTCCAGGAAGCAGCGTGCGAGACCTCCCTCAGGGTTACTGCACAGACCCCAAACACGTCCAGCTCGTGAAACCCCCTGAGCTGAAAATAGTCAGGGGAGCGCTCAAAAAAAAGAAGGGGAACTATTATATACTTTATCCCATTCTTCATCCTCCCCCTGTTGTGCACTTACGGCTCTGGAGGGAAACAAGACGGGGCTACACAGCCCCAAGGTCTGACTCCGATGCCCGCTCGAGAGCACGGCTGCCTTCCCCTGAAACACTTCCTGGGGCACAACTGGCCTCTCGGTGATGGGTGCTGCATTCTCAGGGATGGGGGCACCCCCTGGATTGTGACCGGTCACATTGACCACAAAGTCCCTGCGGGAACGGGAGAGACCCCCGCGAGCAGCCACGTAGGGCAGGCTCCCTGGGGTACCTGCTCTTAGTCCATCACTACTCTCTAATTCTTATTTTTATATATATATAATGCTATCTACCCTTTAACCTGCACAACAATTAGCTGATAACAAAGACTGGCCATTCATGCCCTCCTGTGGCCCAGGAGCTAGAAGTTCTCAGTGAAAATACTGCAAAGTGTGATTAAACCCCAGGTCTCCATGCTGCAGAGGCGGACACCAGACCTGGACTCACAGACCTGACCACACGCGTCCATGGAGGTCTGCAGTGGCTACAGAGAGTGGTCCAGGGCAAGCAGAGGGCTGCATGCCAGGGGGCTCGGCCGGAGCATCGCTCTCCGCCAGCCTGTTCCTGGAGCAGTGTCCCTAAAAACCTGGAGAGAGCACCTGGGCTCTGCCGCAGACAGGGCGCTCGGGCAGACAGACCCTCACGTGGGCTCTGCTCTCGTCCCAGTTGCTGGCACTGGTTAGAATGGTCCCCGGGATGGTGTCTGGCACCAGCTGACTCGCCCTCCCATGGCCAATGCCCATGAGGTCTCCATGGGCCAGCAGCGGTGCCAGCACAGCAGTGGCAGCAGACCCTGGCTTTGGAGGACAGGAGGGTGTGAGGGGCTGGGGGCTCTGCCAGCCCAGTGGCCTCAGAACCAGCAGAGACCCAGGCACAGCCTGAGAGAAGGTCTCTGCCCGCCCAGACCCACGGCTGTGCATGGACCTGACCAGCCATTGATCTGTCGCTGAGGCCATTCCCGTGTCCTGTGTCACGCCAGGGTGGTGCAAGGAGAGAGATCTCCACCACCCTCCTGGCCTGCCCATGGCCAGCACGAAGGCAGGCAGGACGGTGGCCTCAGCTGGCACCTCCCTGCAGCCGGATAGTCGCTGGTGGCAGTCACATCAGGAAGTCACTGCTGCTTCTGGGCACCACCTCTGCTTGTTGAATGGCCACCAGCTGCATCTGCCAGCCCCAGGGTGGCACGGGAGCCCGTGCTGAGGGGAAAAGGGAGGTGAGCAGTGGCTGTGCTGCCTGCTGGCCCCCCGTGACATCAGCCCAAAGGCCAGCAGTGGTTGTGTCACCCAGGAACAGAAGAGGAAGGTGGTGGAGGCCACAGGTTTGAGGAGAGAGCTCACTGCTCTGCCAAGCGCGTGTCTGTCACTAGACCTGCCGTTGTGTGACATGGCCCTCAAACCCCTCTGCCCGAAGCAAAGACACCGTCCGGGCTGTCACTGCTGCTTCCAGAGAGCTCGGGAGGGAGCTGGACGAGGGCATCTCTTGGCCCTGAGGCTGCTGCTGGGAGAAGGGACAGCGGGAATGCCCCAGACCCCACTCCCCACTTCTCGTTGGGTTCCCACTGTCCATCCGGGGAGATGTCTTTCTTCACACACACCATGGAAACCGCACAAGAACCTATGTCTTAACAAGTCGTTTCTTTCTCTCTCTCCAGACACACACGGTGCCCCACGGCAGCAGGACTGTTCCCCAGAGACAAGGCAGAGGATGAGCGGAGCTCCTCAGAACAACAAGTCAAGCAACAGCATGGGCAGTGACCCGCTTGGACACAAAGACATGGGTGAGGGTGGGAGTAATTTCATTGCTGGAGTCTTCATCCAGGCGAAGAAAAAGAAGATGAGTATCTATGATGCCATGATGAGGGGGCTCCTGACGCCAGGTACAGCCCTGGTGCTGCTGGAGGCACAGGCTGCTTCAGGGTTCCTCACCGACCCCGTGAGGAATGAGAAGCTGTCGGTGAAGGCAGCGCTGAGCGCGGGACTCATAGGCAGGGATTTTTATGAGAAGCTGCTGTCAGCAGAGGGAGCAGTGACAGGGTACACAGAGCCCTACACAGGACACAAGATCTCCCTCTTCCAGGCCATGAAGAAAGAGTTCATCGTCAAGGAGCACGCTACCCGCCTGCTGGAGGCCCAGATCGCCACCGGCGGCATCATCGACCCGGTGAATGGCCACCGCCTGCCTGTGGAGGTGGCCTACCAGCGGGGCTTCTTTGACCAGGAGATGTGCCAGTTTCTTTCTAACCCCAAGAATCAAACAAGAAGTTGCTTTGACCCCAACACCCACGAGAACCTCACCTACCTGCAGCTCCTGCGCCGCTGCGTGCCCGACCCGGACACGGGGCTGCTCATGCTCCAGCTGATGGACAAGGGCTCCGTGCTCTACCAGCTGACCGAGGACGCCCGCAAAGCCCTGCAGGCCGCCCGCGTCACCCTCAGCGTGGGGCTCTTCCAGGGACAGAGCGTCACCCTCTGGGAGCTCCTCTTCTCCCGCTACGTGCCCGACCACCAGAGAGAGGAACTGCTGAGGAAATACAAGGCAGGGATGGTGACCATCCCAGAGATGATCACCCTCCTCACCACCATTGTCACTGGGGCAGAAATGGAAAAGGAGGATCTGAGCTCCTCCACAGTTATTCCCAACAACAAGGTGGGAGGATCACAACCCGTTCAGGGGACGCACTCCCAGGAGCAGCAGTTGAGGAAGTCCTTAAAGTCTGTGACCATCTATGTCACCACTGGTGAATTCCAGGGGCAAAAAGTTTCCTTGTTGGATCTGCTCTTTTCCAAATACATCCCCCAAGAGAAGCGGCAGGAGCTGCTGGAGCTGTACAGAGCAGGGATCCTGACCACAGGACAGGTGGCTACGGTGGTCACCAACATCATGAACAGAACAGAGGCTGCAAATGCCGCGCTCACAGCAAATGCCAGAAGTCCACACAAGGTGGTGACAAGGACAGAGGACAACGAAGCTGATTTTTCAGCACAAGATGCACAGCTAGATAACATCTTGAAGTCTACCACCATTGACGTGCCAGCTGGTGAGTTCCAGGGGAGACAGGTCTCTGTGTGGGACCTGCTCTTCTCTGACTACATCTCTGAGGAGAAAAGGCAGGAGCTCCTAGAGCTGTACCGTGAAAGGCTATTAGCTCTGGAGCAGATGATAACTGTTGTCACCACTCTCGTTAAGAAAAAAGAATCTACAGGCAGGAAATTCCTGATTGCAGCCAAGGCTTCTAACAAGGACACTGTGTCAGCAGCAGGAGAGAAGGATGATGACTCCACCAAAGAAGAACCATGGGAAAAAGCCTTGAAAACCACAGTTGTCGACATGGAGGTTGGGGACTTTCGTGGCCACAAGGTCTCTGTGTGGGAGCTGCTCCACTCCAAGTACATCCCTGAGGAGAACAGAAAGGAGCTCCTGGAGCTGTACCGGGGAGGAGTGTTGACCCTCGAGCAGGTAAAAATGGTTGTCAGCACCATTGTAACCAAGGCAGAAGCAGCGAGGGCAGAGCAATTGGCAAATGCGAGTAGTCCACGGGCAGAGACAACGCTTGCAGAAGCTGAGGACACCCACCTGCTGGAGGACAGGACTTGGGAAGAGACCCTGAAGTCCACCATGGTAGAGATGGCAATAGATGAGTTCCAGGGAAGGCAGGTCTCTGTGTGGGACCTGCTCTTCTCTGACTACATCTCTGAGGAGAAAAGGCAGGAGCTCCTAGAGCTGTACCGTGAAAGGCTATTAGCTCTGGAGCAGATGATAACTGTTGTCACCACTCTCGTTAAGAAAAAAGAATCTACAGGCAGGAAATTCCTGATTGCAGCCAAGGCTTCTAACAAGGACACTGTGTCAGCAGCAGGAGAGAAGGATGATGACTCCACCAAAGAAGAACCATGGGAAAAAGCCTTGAAAACCACAGTTGTCGACATGGAGGTTGGGGACTTTCGTGGCCACAAGGTCTCTGTGTGGGAGCTGCTCCACTCCAAGTACATCCCTGAGGAGAACAGAAAGGAGCTCCTGGAGCTGTACCGGGGAGGAGTGTTGACCCTCGAGCAGGTAAAAATGGTTGTCAGCACCATTGTAACCAAGGCAGAAGCAGCGAGGGCAGAGCAATTGGCAAATGCGAGTAGTCCACGGGCAGAGACAACGCTTGCAGAAGCTGAGGACACCCACCTGCTGGAGGACAGGACTTGGGAAGAGAACCTAAAGTCCACCATGGTAGAGATGGCAATAGATGAGTTCCAGGGAAGGCAGGTCTCTGTGTGGGACCTGCTCTTCTCTGACTACATCTCTGAGGAGAAAAGGCAGGAGCTCCTGGAGCTGTACCGTGCGGGGACACTGCCCTTGGAGCGGTTAATAATTGTTGTCACCACTCTCGTTAAGAAAAAAGAATCTACAGGCAGGAAATTCCTGATTGCAGCCAAGGCTTCTAACAAGGACACTGTGTCAGCAGCAGGAGAGAAGGATGATGACTCCACCAAAGAAGAACCATGGGAAAAAGCCTTGAAAACCACAGTTGTCGACATGGAGTTTGGGGACTTTCGCGGCCACAAGGTCTCTGTGTGGGAGCTGCTCCACTCCAAGTACATCCCTGAGGAGAACAGAAAGGAGCTCCTGGAGCTGTACCAGGCAGGAGAGTTAACCCTCGAGCAGGTGAAAATGGTTGTCAGCACCATTGTAACCAAGGCAGAAGCAGCGAGGGCAGAGCAATTGGCAAATGCGAGTAGTCCACGGGCAGAGACAACGCTTGCAGAAGCTGAGGACACCCACCTGCTGGAGGACAGGACTTGGGAAGAGACCCTGAAGTCCACCATGGTAGAGATGGCAATAGATGAGTTCCAGGGAAGGCAGGTCTCTGTGTGGGACCTGCTCTTCTCTGACTACATCTCTGAGGAGAAAAGGCAGGAGCTCCTGGAGCTGTACCGTGCGGGGACACTGCCCTTGGAGCGGTTAATAATTGTTGTCACCACTCTCGTTAAGAAAAAAGAATCTACAGGCAGGAAATTCCTGATTGCAGCCAAGGCTTCTAACAAGGACACTGTGTCAGCAGCAGGAGAGAAGGATGATGACTCCACCAAAGAAGAACCATGGGAAAAAGCCTTGAAAACCACAGTTGTCGACATGGAGTTTGGGGACTTTCGCGGCCACAAGGTCTCTGTGTGGGAGCTGCTCCACTCCAAGTACATCCCTGAGGAGAACAGAAAGGAGCTCCTGGAGCTGTACCAGGCAGGAGAGTTAACCCTCGAGCAGGTGAAAATGGTTGTCAGCACCATTGTAACCAAGGCAGAAGCAGCGAGGGCAGAGCAATTGGCAAATGCGAGTAGTCCACGGGCAGAGACAACGCTTGCAGAAGCTGAGGACACCCACCTGCTGGAGGACAGGACTTGGGAAGAGACCCTGAAGTCCACCATGGTAGAGATGGCAATAGATGAGTTCCAGGGAAGGCAGGTCTCTGTGTGGGACCTGCTCTTCTCCAGGTATGTCCCTGAGGAGAAAAGGCAGGAGCTCCTGGAGCTGTACCGTGCGGGGACACTCACCCTTCAGGAGCTGGTGGCCACCACCACCAGCACTGCTACCAACAGCAACGAAGGGCACCTTGCAACCCTCCCCCAGCAGACGGTGGATCTCCTCCAGTCCGAGGGCTCCTACATTACTTTTGGCCCATTCCAGGAGCAGAGGGTGTCAGTGTGGGAGCTCCTCTCCAACAAGCAAGTCTCTGAGTACAAACGAGAGGCACATCTCGACACCTACGGCACGGGAGGGCTGACGGTGAACAAGATCACCATCACCACCACCGTCATCACGGGCCCACACCGAAAGAAGAGACTCCACCAGGACCACTAGCACCACCCAGCCCAGAAGAGGAGCGAGGTGTCTCCTGGGGCAGGCGTGGCCTGGGTGCTCGGGAGAGTTTGCCTCCCCCATAACTTAATTACGGGCAGGAAAGAGGGGTGACAACCCTGTGTGTGGAACGGGGCGGGTGCCTGGTTAAAGTCCTTGCTGTCTCAACTGCTGCCATGCTGAGGTGTCTTTTCCCCAAGAGGCCTCTCCTGGAGGGGTCCTGGGGAGGGTCCAGGGAGGGCTCTGACTGCAGCGTTCCCACAAAAAACAGGGGAATGCGGGGCCGGCACCCGAGTCGGGTGGGCTGGGGACAGTCAGGAATGGGACTGGGGAGGGGCTCCAAAAGGTTCTGGTGCACACAGGGTGCTGTGCCTCAGCCCCACCAGCCCTGACTGGGGATCCTACAGGTGTAGGATCACCCAGTGTGTTGGGTTGGAAGGGACCTTAAAGCTCCCCCAGTGCCTCCCCCTGCCCTGGGCAGGGACACCTTTCACCAGAGCAGGTTGCTCCAAGCCCCATCCAACCTGCCCTTGAACCCCTCCAGGGATGGAGCAGCCACAGCTTCTCTGGCCAACCTGGGCCAGGCTCTCACCACCCTCACACCAAAGAAGTTCTTCCCAAAATCTCACCTCAATCTCCCCTTTTTCAATTTAAAACTGTTCCCCCTCGTCCTAGGGCTCCCCTCCCTGATCCAGAGCCCCTCCCCAGCTTTCCTGGAGCCCCTTGAGGGACTGGAAGGGGCTCTGAGGTCTCCCCGGAGCCCCCTCTTCTCCAGGCTGAACCCCCCCAACTCTCTCAGCCCCCCTTCCCAGCAGAGGGGCTCCAGCCCTCCCAGCATCTCCCTGGCTTCCTCCAGCCCCTCTCCAACAGCTCCATGTCCTTCTGATGGTGGTGGCCCCAGAGCTGAAGGCAGCACTTGGGGGGGGGTTCTCCCCAGAGCAGAGCAGAGGGGCAGAATCCCCCCCCTCCCTGCTGGCCACGGGGCTGGGGATGCAGCCCAGGGTGCGGGGGGCTCGCTGGGCTGCCAGCGCAGGTTGCCAGATCATGGCCAGCTTTTCACCCGCTGCTGCTGCAGGCCCCCAGTGCCCACCAGGCTGAACTGGGGACCTGCTTTTCCCCTCCAGCCCCCGCAAGCCCTTCTCAGCAGGGCTGCTCTCCATCCCTCCACCCCCAGCCTGGGCTGGGACCAGGGGTTGCCCCCACCCAGGGGCAGGACCCTGCCCTTGGCCTGGTTGAACCCCATGAAGGTCACACAGACCTACTTCTCCAGCCTGTCCAGGTCCCTCCGGATGGCCGTTCCAGTAGCTCCCAGAGCCACAACCCCCGCCCCGGGCCTGTGAGGACACATGGAGAAGTGCTGGTTCACACTTGCCGTGTTCTCACGCTGCTTCCTACACACTTGCTGTCGGCTGGTGCCAGGTCGGAGCTGGACACGCCGTGGAGATGCAGCTTCCCCTCCAGGCTCGGGCTTCTGGCAGAGCACAGGCACCACCTCCTGCCATGGGCTCTGGGGTGGGCCGAGGGTCCCGGACCGTGTAGAGGATGGTGGGCAGGAGGACTCAGGGTGGTGAGGCTTCCGAAAGGAGCCGGTGCCAGCGTCAGGCTGGGAGGGTTCCAGATGGCTCCCCGGGACTGGGATTGCACTCCCACAGGAAGTGCTGGATTTCCAAAAAAGAAGCTGAAAGAAAACAGGACATTGTGTAAGGGAGAAGCTGCATACATTTGCATAGTTATAAGCTGGTTTTGTAACTGAATGCATGCGAACGGTGCCCGAACGCTCTTTGGAGGCGCGGGGTGGGCAGGGGAAGGGAAGGGAAAGGGTCGGTCCTGCTGCCCAGTCCCTGCGGGAACATCGCACCAGGGCAGATGCACCGAGTAAGGGCTGGGTTTCAGGGGAGAAGCCCCGGGTTGAGAGCAGAAGCCCCGGGACCCAAACTGCTGGAAAAGGAACGCGGAACCAGCAAATGCGTGGCTTTGCCCATAGAATGAGAATCATAGCATTGCCTGGGCTGGAGACGACCTTTCAGATTGTCTGGTCCAACAGTGAGTGGGGAAGCAGTAGCGTGCCCACAGCACAGCGGCTTTCCCTGTGGGGTGGTGGTGCTCCCAACCCGTGGGGGCCACAGACCTCTGTGATGGTGGCCTCCGGTGTGGGAGAACAGAGCCAGCCAGGCCCGTTGCCCCAGCTGGAGCACATCAGCCCACCTGGACCAAGCCAATGTGGTTGGCAAGGCGATGGGTCAGCACCCGCCAGGGCAGCAGCTTCCCACCAAAATCATTTGGCAAAAGGGGCAGGCTCCCCGTGCCTCTGCGCCGGGAGCTCCCTCCATCCCGCCTCCTCCAGCCGCTGGAAACCTCCTCCTCCTCCTCTCCAGCCAGCTCCAACTGATTTCCTCTTACGCAAAACCCGTCCATCAGTTCGAGCAGATCTCCTCCTGCTCCGCTGTTTTTCTCTGATAAAGCTGCCCTGGGCAATCTTATCTCCCCTCGACGTCTGTTTTGAGGCGCTATCGAGCTGGGCTGCTCTCACCTCCTCTCGGCGTCCCCCCAGCCCACTCCCTGTCTCTCCTCTGCACCGTTTCTGCAATGAATTCATGGTTTTTAGCAGGGTTTTTAGCAGGTCAGCACCGGTGCATGGTCTGTAAATGATTCTCTGTACAACAGCACTCTCTGCCTCTCCTGGAGACGCATCCCCACAGAGTTCAGAAGGCAGCAGCTCTTCGTGGTGGGTTTCGTGGTGGGTTTCGTGGCAGCCCACACCCATCCTGAGGCTGCTGAAGGCAGGCAGGCCCTTTCCTCTTTCACCGCTTCCAGAACGGGGGCCTAATTTATGGCACAAATGTTTGTTCAGTGACTGCAGGGCATGACTCTGCATTTCGTACCATTCCATTTCCTCCCATGGCTGTTGGTTTTCAGCCCTCAATGTCACCTGTTCCAGCCCTGCTCCACCATCCCTCACCTCTTGGCTGGGCTCGCTGACCTGCGCCTGGTAATGTATGGCAAAGCCATTGATACAAACATGACATTAATTTGGCTCCTAGAGCCCATAGCATCACTTACAATTCTCCTTTCGGAGGAGGCAGAGAGGAATGGGATAATGGGGTGTCCCTGCACCTGCACAGCGGCGAGGCTGCCCCAGGAGACAGAAGTTACTTTTTTGGCTTTGCTGCTGTTGTGACCTGTGATTCTCGTGGGTTTGTCTTACCAGCACAAAGAGGGGGTTTTAGCCGCAGAGCCCCAGGGTGTCTCCACTAACTGATTTCCCCAAGCCCCACAGATGACAGCTGACATCATCCTCACGCTCAGCTGAAAGTTTCTCCTAATGAAAGTTTTTAACTCGAAGAGAAAAAGAAACAGAAGGTATTGCTATGATGAAATCCTTGCTTAACTTTCCACCTAAATGATTCTACTACTTTTTCTTAATAGAACATCAAAAAAGTGTTTAAAGGCTGCTGGAGCAGGGAACTCCCCAGCTGCAATGGGATAGCTCAGGCCACGTTTAGCTCCTTACCGCTGTAACACAAAAACAGGGTTATTTACCTCGAAGTGCTCCATGCTGGAGCCTCCCCGGCAGCAGGCACCCTTCCTCCCATCCCTGTAGGCTGTGGGGCTGCGTGTGGGGGGAGACCCAGGGTCCCCCAGCAGCTGAGACATCTCCTGTCACCGTCCCTGGGGAGAGACCCAGCCTCCAGGGGGGTCCCCCAGCAGCTGAAGCATCGCATGACACCATCCCCCTGCACAGGTCCCTGCTCCCCGGCATCCACCAGCATCCTCCAGGGCCGGCGTGGGGAGCAGGGACAGGGAAAGAGCCCGGAGCGAGGACACGGGGCTCCGTCAGCCCATCCTGGGGAGGCAAATTGGGACAGGACCCGGAGAAACTGGCTGAGATTTGCAGAAGGAAACCAGGGTCCGAAGAGCAGGAAATTCCCTGGCTGCTGCCCCGAACACGCCGTCCCGCGCAGGAGCAGTACCTGCAGCCAGGCTTCCCCCTTGGCCAGGGCAGGAAACGCCGGCCGAGCCCCTGCCAGGGCTGGGGGGCAGCACCAGCCCCTCCAGGAGCCTGCCAAGACGGGGGGAGCCGGCGACAGGGGCTGACATAAACCAGGCGCCCTTTGTGCATGACCAGCAGCCAGCGTGGGGAAATTCAGCCTTCCCTGGAGGCAGCAGTGGCTGGAGCAGCCTCAGCCCTCAGAGGGGTTTGCAGGGGAATCACTGTCAGCGCTCCCAGCGCTCGGACTCCCCGCTCCCCCCGTCATCCCTGCCCCTTGGGGCTCCCTCCCTCCATCCCTCTGGTCGCACAGGGATGCGCACATCCCTCCCACCAGTGCCCCTCTGCTCTGGCCACCGGCTCCAGCTCCCCCCTCGCCCGTCTGGCAGCCCATGGCCGGGCTCTCCCATCTGGAGATGGCCACACAGCCAGGGCAAGCAGCCTCCCCCTCGGCTTCACCTCACACATCAGCCTGGCTGCTGCCCCCCGCATCGCCCTGCTCCCTCCCAGATGGATGAGCCTTCCCACAAGCGTTCCAACCACCCCAATTTTTAGCACGGGGCTGTGACCGGTGACAGCAAGTGTCCCCCTCCCTGCGCACCCCCCCACACCAAGCCCCGTTCCTGCCACCCTTCACCTCTGTGCGGTGTGCGGTCACACGCCCCGGCTTTTTCCACTTATGGAAGCACTTGTGGAAGGGCTGGGCACGCGTGGGAGCTGCCAGCGGGGAGGAGCAGGGCTGGGGCAGCCAAACAGCCCCTCACCGGGCTCTCTGGCCCGACCCCTGCCCAGGGACGTTTGTGGACACAGTGCCGTCCCAGGGGTGGCTGGGAGATGCTCCCCACGGCGAGAGCCGTAAGAGATGGTTTCGGGGAACTGCTCTGCCTTCCTCCTGGGAGAGCGCTGATCCTGCAGCACCAAACGCCTGCCCTGCCACGAACCCCCAGAATTCACACCTCTGATCTACCTCCTGACACCAGCCGGTCACACGCTTGTGTCGGTCACACCTTCGTGAAGGATGTGCGTGGGGAGCTGCAGGAGAGGGGGGGTCGCAGCCCGGTGTGTTTGGTTTGGGAAACACAGGCAGGCTCCCAAGAAGCGCAGAGCTGGCCCCACGCCTGCCCCACAGAAACCACTGGCCACCGTGCCAGGAGGAGACAGGGCAGCGGGGAGGATGTTTGTGGGCTCCGTGGAGCCCGTCTGGCACCCAGGCTGAACCTTAAACCTTGACAAAGTGCAAGTTGTGCAAAAACACGTGACGTCACTTACATCCCGGCCCCATCCATCCCGTGCGGATAAAAATAGCCGGGAAGCCAAGAGGGGCCTCCGAGCAGGGAGAGAGGGAGGGAGGGAGCTTCAGCACAGACCTTGGTGCTGCAAACCCCATCGCCCGGCCGGGAGGGAGGGACAGTCCCAGGGGCACAGCATCGCCTGGGCTTTCCTGCCAAACCCAGGCC